CGAAAAGAAAAGCGTATAAAGATACATCGAATGTCGCTCCTAAAAAATTTCAGTTTCTACCTGAAGGAGAAAAAGAAGAAACTAAGGAAAATGAACATTTGCTCGCGTCGTATCGTCGACATTGGATATACATAAATTCACGGAAAAACTCGTAAAGACAAAGGCACGACTCGTTCGCCTAAAATCGATTAATGACTCCGAGATACGGAGGTTGAGCTTCTTCTTTTTATTTATTTATTCTTTTTTTTTCGTCGCGGTGTGAGAATATGCGACCCGCCGGTAATAATAACGCTTCGGCAAAGGCGAGGGTGGACGAGTGACCATACCAGGTCAATACTCGTACGTACATACACACAAATGTATATATATATATATATATATATATATATATATATATATATATATATGTACACGCGCGCGCACGAGTCCGTCTCTGTGAATGTATCTGTTATTGCGATATAGATGTTAATAGGTTAGGGGGTCTTTAGAGAATGCGGGGTGAATCACGATTTCGATAAGGGTTTATATATTCGCTCGTTCATCTCTCTCTTTCTCTCTCTCTCTTCTCCCTTTTCCTTTCTGCCTGTGCCTCTTTCTCTCTCTCTCTCTCTCTCTCTCTCTCTTCTGTCCTCGTACCGCGTTCATTCCGCACCGCGCCATACCGTTTCTCCCTTTTCTTCCGTCGTTCGCTCATTGAAAAGCGGCCTTCCGCATAGGGTTTCCAGCGTGCCGACTCGGCTACACGCTAAGTATGCATGTACGCGTACTTACGTACTTACGTACGAGCTTGAATAATGACGCGCGCTCGCTAAGTATTACGTATCTACGTATGCTCGTACTACTACGTATGTACATGAGCGCGAATGCGAGCGTGAGCGTACTTACTTTATAGCATCTACGTCGGAAACACGTGTACCGCTCGTTAAAACACACCAAGCTCCACTCCGCGTACATATACGTCACCGGTATTTTCAACGATAGAGAACTTTTGCTATTTCGAAAAAAAAAAAAAAAAGGAAAAGAAGAAAAAAGATGGCATACTTTTTATCTTTGTTTTTCTTGTTCTTAAGAATTGTCATCGACCAATAGAAAAATATGTTTTCGTCAACCATCTTTTATCTCATCTTCTTTTTTCACCGATTTTATTTCATTATATGCTATATAATACAGTTTAAAATTATTATGTCGATACGTAGTTTTTATCGTTCGATATATCGTTAAATTTTACGTGAACGTATTTCTGTACGGTAAAGAAAAGAGCTCCTTGTTATCGATACGTCACTAAAAATATTGCATTTGTGTGTTTTAAAGGATAAAGAGAGAGAGAAAAAAAAAAGAAATCGGTTAACGTACGGGTCGAAATCTTTCTTCTCGTTCGTTCGGAGTTTCGCGACGAAAGTGAGCGTACTCCATTCTTATAAAGTTTAAAACTAGACTCGTGCTGGATTCGCTTTCTCCCCTTTTGTTCCGTCCTCCTTTTCTCTCTTCCTCTCCATCCCTCTCTCTCTCTCTCTCTCTCATCTCGTTCTGCGCAATCAAAGGTATAATCCGCACAATTGCCGGCAAAGTTTCAAACTCGCTCTTTCGCTCGTTACGACTGAAAAGTACACGCAAGCGATTATGACGCATAGAGCAACGATCAGCACGAAACAATAACAAAATTAAAGCGGATAAACTGAAATGTTTTTGACCTTTGAGTTTATACTACTGAATTAATACGAAGCGTATATATACGTCTACTAAGAAAAGAAAAGGAGAACGAAAACGCAAAGTCAATTCATTTGCAATCAACGACACAACGTTGTAAATGATAATCGTGATAACTCTTTTCGAGTTAGTCCCTCGGACTAACATTGTCTATGGAGGAGAGAATAGGGAAGAACGGTATCGTTCGATTCTCCGTAGTTTTCTAAACACCGCGTAGATCTAAGGGCGTGCGCGCGCGCGCGCGCACGCGTGGGTTTCATCGGTGTATCAGAGCGTGTACGGTATGTAAGTCGCGTAGGTGTAAACCCCGGTAGTGGTAGGTGTGCGAGACCGTAGGGCGATCTCCACCTCCGGCAAAGCGCGACTGCATATACTTGTATGTAGACATATACATATGTAAGTATGTATGTATACATACGTAGGTAGGTAGGTAGATAGGTAAAACGAGCGTTGATGGTGGTGGTGGTGGTGAATGGTGGTGTTGCCCGTTCGCCTAACTCACGAATACGAGGGGCTAACATCTAGGCGAAGTACATAGGTAGGAGGGACTAGGTACTATCTAGTATCTAGTAATACCGGGTACTAGGTACGTACGCGCCGCGGACGCCAAATAGCGGTTCGCATATTCAGAGATAGCGACGTCGCTCGCTCGGCGCGCGATCGCCCCTGATTTAGGTTTCTCTCTCTCTCTCTCTCTCTCTCTCTCTACCTCTGCCTTTGCTTCTACCTCTATCTCTATCTCTACCTCTACCTCTACCTCTACCTCTACCTCTATCTCTACCTCGTCCTATCCACTCTACCTATACCACCCCTCGTTCCATCGCTCGTTGCTGCTCCATCTTCCCGCTTCTCCACCCTTCTATCCTCTGAAGCACGGACGCGCGCGCGCCCATACTCCTTTTATGTATACGTGAACACACGTATACGTGGGAAATGACGTACACTTAGACGAGACTAACACGCTTTGCCTGCTTCGATGGTCGCATCTTCGTCGTCGTCGTCGTCGTCGTCGTCGTCGTCGTCGTCGTCGTCGCCTACGGATAACGTCTTCAATACGGGCGAGTAAAGACGACAACGACGACGACATCGAAACTTTCCAAAAATCGCTGTCTCACTCGGTACTGTACTCCGAAGCACAGCCAGCCAATCCGGGTCGCTTCTTAAATTGTTCCAACGAACGATCCGGACATGCTCTTGCACCCATGATCGGCTCCACGTACGCGCTTTTATTTCCTTCCTTATCGCATCTAAAACATACGAGACGAAGCGAGAGTAAAGAAAAAAAAAAATAAGGAAAAAAAAGATAAAAGAACGGCAAATGGACAGTAACGAGAAATAGATAGCGATTCTCGAGGAAACTAAATCTTACCACCTTGGCGATCCCTTCTTTGGATGATTTAGTTAAAACATCTACACGAAGTCGCGAAAGGTCAAGGAGACTCTCCGTGACAAACTACGAACTACGAACGACGCGTTGCTTAGAAATGAAAATCAAAAATGAAGATAAGACACTGTGGATCGAAAATACAACGTATTTAATTAGATTATTAGCAAAGACCAACAAAAACAAAAAGAAGAAAGTTGCGAGTTTGTTTTTTACACGTCATGTTATAGGAATAGAAATGATGTGGCGAAAAGTATGTTTCCATGAGAAAACACAATATAAGGAAATGTGTAAAAGTTATTCGCTATATTAGAAAAATATATAAATGTTGGATTGATTGGTGCGTCGTAAAATAGTTTCGAAGATCATAAGGTTTGAACTTGAAAGAATAAAATAAGGAACGTTTTGGGAAACATTTGTATGATTAAAATAGAGGAAAGAACGAAGAGTCGATGAATGAGAGACACTGAGCGCAGCTGCCGCGCGACGCGGCGGTATCTCTCCGCGTAGTCTGCTACCTCACACCCTCGTCTTGCGCGACCCAGCAGCAGCAGCAGCAGCAGCAGCAGCAGCAGCAGCAGCAGCAGCGGCAGCAGCAGCAGCAGCAGCAGCAGCAGCAGCAGCAGCAGCAGCAGCAGCAGCGGCAGCGGCAGCGGCAGCAGCAGCAGCAGCAGCAGCGGCAGCGGCAGCGGCAGCACGTGGGTGCTGGTCGAAGGGGTCGCGCGCGTGGAATGAGGGTGACGCAAGGAGGAGTTGGAAGCGAGGGCGGAGGTGGGAGCGGAGGTTCGAGGAAGAGGCAGCGACGGTGGCGGAGGCGGCCGACCGATCGCGAACGCGAGGGACTCCGAAGGGCTCCGTAAGGACTCGAAAGGGCTCGGAAAAGCTTTGCCATTGCCACCCACTGACCAATGCTTTCCAACCTAAACGAACATCCCCTTTCTAGTCTCTCTCTTTTTACTCTCGGGCTTACGTCGAAAAATGAAAAATCTCCTTCTTGGAAAAAATTTCCCTCTCCGTGACGTTTTGTCACGTCTAACTTTTCGCTATCGCGTCGTGACGCGACGTTAAAAATTCTTTTTAATTTTTTAATCGTTGAACATGCAGAAATTACCGTTTGGTAAGCTTGGTATTATTCTTTTATCACATAGATTTGTCATCTGTAAGAACGAACGAACAAAGATTTTGAATTGATTTCGTGAGTTTACGATACACACAACAAGTTTATATTACTATCCAACTTTTTTCTCCGTCTGGTCTAAACATTCTTTCAGCGCGCAAGCGGCGCTATATATTCCAAGCGCATAGATCATAATACAATAGCGTAGGTCAGGAAACAGGGAAGATACGCAGGCCGCTTGCCATGTGCTCGACGACGCATTTCGCTTCGAGTTACTCACCCCTCCCGCCTTCGATGATCGCCCTCGCTCACTCTGTGTGCCCCATATTTACTCTTTGGTATTGTTATTATTACTTCTGTCGTTTTCACTAAACAGTCCCCTACTTACCGACGATGCAGCATCGTTTCTTTCTCTATTGCTTTTACGTCGGCAAAGTCGCCCCTTCTACGTTACCGACCACCGATTATTTCTAATACCATATAAAATATCCGTTACCTATCGTAATCTACCTTATCCACTGATAATATGGGCTCGTTAATACGAATGAAATATTATTAACTAAATAGACTAATTTAAAACCATTGTCATATATGACCTCCATTATGCAATAATGGTTATCCTAGATGATAATTATTCTAGATGGCGTCACTTAATGATCATCTCTTATCGCGCGCTTTTTGATTTATACGAATCCTTTGTATATTTTTCTCTTCAAATCTTGAATGATAATAATCGAAAGATCTTGAAGAGGCACACGTCTTAGAATCTTATAATAATAATAATAATAAAAAATTCTTCATTAATTTATTATTTCTCAGCCAGCAATCCTACGCTCCCCATCGTGGTTAATCAATTTTCGCAGCGGTAATAGTTTCGAGTGTGCAACGTTCTTGACGAGTCTCCTATTAGGACAAGGATATAATGCATTTGTAGTTTTTGGCTATGCATCCCGCGAACAAGTTCAATACAATAGGACCAAAATCTCCTGCCCGTATTTACCGGAAGATTTGAAAGAATTAAAACTGTCGAAAGAAGAAGATGTTAATTTAATATATAATTTGAAACCTCCTGCGGATTTTAGAAGCAAATTTTTATTGAAACTGGATGCCAGAGAAAAGCTTAAATTGGAAACTGAAGTTCAAGAGGAAGAAGAAAAGCAAGCTAGAATTATAATTGTATGTATTTTTTTTTCTTTTCTTTTTTTTTTTTTTTTTTTTTTTTTCGATAGAAAAAATGCGTAATAACAGTTCTATATTTAGCATGATGTTTAGGAATTGGAAAAACCACCACCAGATAAATATTATGGACATAGAGTTCATGCATGGGTCGTCGTCTTACCTGCTCTTAATAATATGAAAGAAAGACAAGTTACAAATCCATTCTTTATCGAGCCCTCCTCCGGAGAAATGTATGATCTGCTCGATCCTCAAACTAATCTTTTATACCTAGGTGTAGAAAGTATCTGGAATGATGAAAATTATTGGATAAATATGCAGCAGGATTTGACGATTGGTTGTGACAAAATAAATTGGAATTTAACTCTAACGGAGCTATGGGAGCATCTACTTCCTGGCGAATCATGGATTATGCGTGACGTTGAGGATGATCTAAACGAAGAATTAAATATTGAGATAGAGCGGGAGAAACACTTAGATATGCCCTCCTCTTATGTAAATGAAATATACATAAATAGTTTAGGTAATTATATCGATTGACCCTATAATATTTTTATGATTTTATATGCGATTTGTTTCATTACTTTCTTATGGAGATTTGTATCCTTTTTTTTTCTCTCCAACAACACAATATAATACAAAGTTGCTCCGTTTATAGATTTTGAGAGGCGATATCCTCGAGGTCATAAGACAATATTTTACAAGAAAGTTAAAGTAGATTTGTATGCTCCTTATACGCAATCAGATGGAATAATAGAAAAACTAACAATATATGATGATTATGAGTATACAACTCCGATTGAAATTTATGAAAAATATGCTAATAGGAACGATAATTTAGTAAAATCACGAAGAAACTTGAATACCAATTATATTATCGATTACTATGAAAGGGGTCGCTCTGATGCATGTAAAGGTAATTGATACCTAAATAGATTTTCTTTCAACTCCATAATATTTTCTAATTAATAGAGAATTTTTAGAACATCGCTATTATAATCACGACAATAGTTCATTCGTATTTAGCGAAAGAGTATTATGTTTCTATGACATGGTTCGTCTTGATGGATTATCAGAAATCCATATGTATCCTTTCCGTTTAACACAATATTATGTTAATCGTGAAGATCTCCTGTACTACAGGTAAGGCCACATTCTATCTTGGTAAGCAATGATTCTAACATTTGAAAATATAATAGTCAATATTTTGTGGTACTCAGGAACGCCGAGTTCTCGCCGTATAAAGATGAATCTACAATAGAAGGAATACATTATCGTTATATTCAAGTAAGTTTTTATGTCTGATAATGGATAATAATATGTTCTTGAAAAATGATCTACTTAAACATTTATTTGTTTAGACGATAACTGAAAAATATCATAGAAATGAAGTACTACCGGCATCTAGAGATATTGCTGTACGTGAATTTGTTTTAACGGAAAAAGAGATACATCTGAAATTTCATTATGAAGATGAAAGAATCACAAGAGCTATACGGGTATATAAGAAGCCAGAAACAGGAGAACATCTTAATATTCATACCGCTATCATTCAAGAGTACAACGTAATTATTATCTTTAACGTTAACGTTTACGTTAACGATCGCTCCCCAAATCATATTCTTTTCAATAATCGCTAATAAAATTGGTACTATTCATTTTTTTGTTGTGCAGTCGGATATTATGTCACCGCCTGAAAAAAGCTTACATCTATTTTATGAAATAGAAAAATTATTAAAGGAGGAAGACCAATGTGTATCTAATATCAGAGATGCCGAAAGTGAAATTTCTTTATTTATAAAAAGACGAACGAGCGAATATTTAAGTCCAAATTTAATGATTTCTTCGTTCGACAGAAATAGAATTGATACGAGAAAATCCATAAAGGTATTCCCATCAATATGTCTCATATATTATTGGTATATAAAAAATACTCATCTAAATTTTATGCAGGCTACAACAACGGTATCTTCTTCGCAAGACATTGCAAAACCTCCTGATCACTTGGCTCCATACTTGGCACGAATAGGAAATCCAAAGCAGATAAGTAAAGCTCAAGCATATCTATTACGAGAAGATTGTTTAAATGATTTTAAGCAATCAGAGGTGGATAAAGGGAATCTTATTTTACGCGAATCTGAAAAGCTTACACAGAAACTGAATGAATTGCAAATGTTACTAACACAGGTATTAACATCGCATGATCAAAGGTTATATTAATCCGTAAATATGTTTATATGTAATACAATTGTAATATTTCGTATTTAGAATGAAGATTTAACGCGGGAGGAAGAAGAAGAGTTTATAGCAAAAAGCAATGACATAACCTTTAATCTGCAGTTGTTGGATATAAAGTTAGAACGTCATAAGAATTTAGTTCCTATACGATATAAAATGCTAGTAGAGCTTTTACAGGAAGACGAACGCCTTTCCAGTCTCTACAAGTAACAGTAATTATATTAACAGTAAGTTAAAAACAATAAGGAACTTTTATATTTATATAGATAAATGTTACTTTGTCTTTTCGTGTGCGTGCGTGCGTCGTGCGTGCGTCGTGCGTGCGTGGATGCGTGCGCACGTGGCTGCTCCGGCATGCGTGCGTATGTGTCACTTGTCGCATTATTTCAAAGTGAAGACTATTGGAAAGACCAAGAACCCATTTGCCCGATGCATCGACCTAAAACAATTAGATCCATTTCAATAAAATTAATAATTAATAAAAAACGATTATTTGAATAAGTAAAGAAAAAATATTTCTATAGTCTGATATCACCTTCATCATCAAACGTTGCCAAAGTAAATTTGCTAAGTTTATTCGTGAAACTACCAGTACTGTAGGTAGTAGTTGCAGAATGATCCAATTGACGTTCGCTATTTGTACCATCATTGTGAGAACTGTGATTGCGATTTTCCTCGGCAAAACCAGAAATTAAAGTGTCCATCATTATTGCCTGATACATATGTATTATCTTTAATATTTATTATTTCCTTATTATTATTACTATTATTATTATTATTATTATTATTATTATTATTATTATTATTATTATTATTATTATTATTATTATTAGTGTTGTTATCTTATAAAACACACTTGTCTCGAGAATACTTGTAGAATTTTATAAACGCGTGCACCATTTTCTCTAACAGGAAATTGTAGAAACAAACAGGGCAGACAATCGGGGTTTCTTTCGTCAGAAGGTTTTGCCATTTCCCAACTTAATTCCGAGTATTTCAATCCTAATAGAAGACTCTGTTAAAGAAAAACTAAATCGTTATGGATATAACAAGAAACGAATGAAAGATGTAAATTTGTTGACTTACACATTGCATATCATCAACGATGTATACTCCCGAGGTATTAATAGCAATCAAAACTTGTAGGTCACGATTCGTAATCCATGATGCTAGTCCTCTCACAGGACGTTCAATTTGTCCTTGAAAGAAGGCAGCACCATAACAAGGTAGACCCCAACAAAATTCAAGATACTTCCTAATAAGTTTTCTTGGATTTGTATTCGCCCCAGTATGATTAGGTATTCGTTTATATTGTTCCAAAAGGCGTGCTTCTGGTGCTCCTTTACCTCCCACCAAACCTAATCCAAGTCCTAATCCTAATAAAAGACTCGGTGATGTGTAATGATGTGGTAAAAATTTTCCTCGGTGCCTTCTAAAAAATGCCAATGTGTGTGTTTGTGAGTTATACGGGCCTATTTCAATACGTGCTTGTAATGCTCCTAAGCTTGCATATCGTGCTTGCCCTTCGCATGGATATCTACCTATGACAACGACATACATTTTTGAACTAAGGAAGAATAATATATATATATATATATATATTTGCGCGTATCTCTCTTAGAATTATTAATTTATATCTTATACCTTGTTATCAAAGCTTATTACCTTGTAAAACATTATGCCTTGCTTCTGCATACAACAGTTCAAGTACTTTAGCCTCCTTTATTTGCTCTTCGTCGTATCTAGAAAGAAACACATTCCTACGAAAATATAATAAAGGTTCCTCGTCGGTTCCATCTCTTTGCGAACCATATTTTTTAACTAAACGGTTCCATTTGGCGGCTAATTCTATTGGCTTGTGATTTGGTCTTAATTGAATCTCCAATTGAGATGAGCATAGCCATAAAGCAAATACTGGCTGTCCGATTAAAGGCGGAGCTCTTGCCAATCCTAATTCTCCTTCCGTTTGTACTATAGTTAAAATTTGTTGTGCGGTCGAACTTTGCTCAACTTCCATTGTTACAAATATTCCGGTCATTAGGTATACTGCTATGCGCACAGTAGCTCTTCCAGTATTCATATACTGTGCTTGGCTCATCATCATTGCTTTGTTAATGACGATGATAATAATAACAACAACAACAACAACAACAGAAGAGAAATTTAGTAAAAATAGCTTGTCGAAAAAGTTGCTATAACAGATACTCACAAAGTGGAGCATGTCCGTCGTTTTTATAATCATTTGGATATCGTTGCACCAGTTGGCCCCTTCGAATCGAGCAATCCTCCTGTGTTTCCATATTTTTTTAAGGAAGCTCTTTTATCTTCTCACCAGAAACAATCTTCTCTCAAACGTTCGTTTGAAATCCTTACGTGCGCAAATAGAGTTTACAATTAGTCATTATGTGTTCGAACAAGTAGTGCATATTTTCCTTTGTTTGCAACATTATGTTTATATTTTTACGCTTATTCAAACTGACTGAATATTTGTGACGTTTATGTGACTTTTTCAAAACTATTACATTTCCTTACTGTCTCCTTCAATTATTATAATATCCATAAAATTATAATAATGGTAAAATGTTAAATTTATAGTTTATACCTTACAGAATAATTCTCATAATCAAGAAATTAATTGAGTTGTACACGATATATTAGATCGAATGCACAGATTTTTGCTGATATTTGTAAGACACTAAAAGAGTGTCTCAAAACAAGAATGCACTGCCATCTAAACCATAGGTCCGATTATTGATTATTCTGGTTCAAGAAGACATAATGTTTTAAACAATCATTTTTTCCTACAAAACATATTACGTACAGTTACGTTTCAAGATACACGTCAATTATACGTATAATTTATTCATATATTATGCCTTTTTTTTTCTTTTCTTTTCTTTTCTTTTCTTCTCTCTTTTTTATCTTACGATTATGTACCATCGATTTTTATTACTACGATTTATCAAATATAAAAGTATATATTTAGAAAAAGAAAATTTATATCATTATACTACTATACTTTTATTAACATATTTGTAACTTTTTTTTATCAAAATAAAAATGGATATACATCGATAATAGTCGTATTACATAATCGTATATACAAGTATTGTACATGTACACATGTTAATTAGTTATTTATATTTACCGCTTAATTTTTCATTGTTTCATTCGCTCGTACGTATTCACCTTATGTAATATTTGTAATATTACACAACGTAGATTTGCGCTCAATAAATAATTATTTGTAAAGGATAACCCTGAAGATGAAACTGCATAGATTCAAGAGAAATCCTATAGAAATGTAAAATTAGTAAAAGTACTTTTTGCTTTTGTGAAAATATATCACACGGAATTTGGCGAGAAATAGAATTGAGTTATAAATAACTTAAACATTAATACGTAAGGTACTACTTAACGCTACCATAAATGTAAATAAAACAAATCTTCATATTAAATCAGTTATGTCAAAAGAAATAATGGAACTGGATGAAGATATTAAATGAAGGAAATATTTAATATGTGCATATGTGTCTTATATTAAATCAGCTACATTCATAGGCATTTCATCAATTTGTGTCGAATAATACTGTTCGATATCTCTCAAGATTCTGATATCATCAGTTTTGACAAAATTAATAGAAACACCTTTTCGGCCAAAACGACCTGATCGGCCTATTCTATGGATATATAATTCACGATTGTTAGGTAAATCGTAATTAATGACAAGCGACACTTGCTGGACGTCTATTCCTCTGGCCCAAACGTCAGTTGTGATTAGGACTCGACTATAAGATAAATAAAAAGGAATTATAATATCGAGTCAAGTGTAATCAAATGAGGAACAATTTTGATAAGAGTTACCTTTGTCCAGAACGAAATTCTTTCATAATATTATCTCTCTCTTTTTGTGGCATATCTCCGTGCATAGAACATACTGTAAAATTGGCTTCTCTCATTTTTTCCGTTAGCCAATCAACTTTACGCTTTGTATTACAAAATATTACTGCTTGAGTAATAGTTAAAGTATCGTATAAATCGCAGAGTGTATCAAATTTCCACTCTTCGCGTTCAACGGCAACAAAGAACTGTTTTATACCTTCTAAAGTCAATTCATCACTGTTGCAAATAAATATGGCCGATTTTAACTACATACATACAATATGTTATATTGAATATCGACGGAAATACTTACCGCTTTACAAGAATACGAATAGGATCTGTCATAAATTTACTTGTCATCTCAAGAATTTCATGCGGCAACGTAGCTGACACTAGGACAACTTGCGTTGCTGGTGGTAAATAACGATATACATCGTAAATTTGTTCTTTGAAACCTTTATTAAGCATTTCGTCGGATTCATCAAGTACTAACATTTTAATAGCCCTAGTACGAAGTACTCTTCTTTTTATCATATCTGAAAATATATATTATTGTTATTATTTTAAATGATACATAAATATGCGTTTTTAAAATTTTTAAATATACAATATAAAAATGTAGATATTTCGAGTTTATTAGTAGAGAAATTTTAATACATTGACTGCCATGTAAGCACCACTGAGATAAGTGACAATGCGTTAAACGATTAATGTCAATACGTCTATATTACCGAATACTCTGCCGGGTGTGCCTGATACTACGTGTTGCCCATAATCGAGCTTTCTTATATCTTCTCCAAGATTTGTACCTCCTATGCATGCGTGACATTGCACATTCATAAAGTCACCTAATGCAAGAATAACCTTTTGTATCTGAGTAGCAAGTTCTCGAGTTGGTGAAAGGACAAGTACTTGTGTTTCTCGTACTTCCGTATCCAAAGATTGTAATATAGCGATTGAAAAAGTTGCAGTTTTTCCTGTACCAGATTGTGCCTGTGCTATCACATCTCTGCCTTGCATTATAGGTCTTATAGATCTTTGTTGTATGGCCGATGGCTTTTCAAAACCTGCGATTGATAAACATTAATTAACTTATGCAATACATATACACACACATATATATATATATATACATATCAGGAAAATGCATACTTTCGTTCGGTTAATTAACTTTTATTCGTGGGTGTGTTGTCTAGGCGCTTAAAATTTACTATTTATAGAACGGAGAAAATTATACAACGTAGAATTACATCAATTGTTACAATATTATTAACGTCATAATCGAATCTTAACCTAAAAAATCGTGCATACAGGGATCTTGCCCCGGGGACGAGAATATCGGCGAGATTTGGTATTTGCGGCAATTCGAGTTCTTAACGCCATACGTAATAATAATGATAATTATATATATGTATATATATATACACACATATATGTACATAAAAATATTTTTCACGTATGTCTCTTCTACAAATACATGTATTTACTTCTAATAAAATCCAGAGACATGAAAGATTATCATCCAAAATTGAAAGCAGGTGATGATATGTGCAGCGAAAAGGTTAACTTGCACAAAACTTCAAAAAATAAAATAATACTTTACCATATGCATAAATCCCTCTTAGTAATTCCTCCCGTAGATTCATATTATCAAACGTAGGAATAACTTCAACATCTTCACTTGTTTCAAACTCCACATTTGATAAATCTTCTGCTTGAGCAACCCTACGCGACTTTACCTCAGCCATTTTGGTAGCGATACGAATACAAGCAACTTCTTTTTCTTTTACCATGTGTCTATCTACTACGACGCGTCTTAAAATTTATATTTCTATAGCCGGTATTTTAGTTCTAAAGAACTGTGACGATTCCACAACCTAGTTATTATCAATATGAGTGAAGCTTGAGAGTAGAGTTTTGAGAGATAATGGGCCAGCCAATGAGCGATCGCTATCGAACATATCGAACATATAAAGACCAATTAGAAGTGAGTACAGTTTACGAGAGTAGCGCTGCGATCGTTCGGCCGCGGTGAAACAAACGAAGGAATAGATTTTTTTTTTTTTATACTTTACTTTCTTTATTTAAAACGTTATTAAACGAATATTGTATCGTTATTGTTAAATTAATATTAATTATGTTGAAATTTCGTTAATTAAAATTATCTGCCCGAATTACTGTTTACATTCTCGTCGCATAGAACGTTACATCAAATAAAGTAGAGAGAGAGAGAGAGAGAGAGAGAGAGAGAGAGCATTCAATTCGCAGTGACACTATAGCCATCTATCAATATTATAAAAAATACTTCTAAAACTTAAAGCATTTAAATCTCATGAGAGTTTGGCAAAACGCAAAGTTTGAGTGTCAGATAATGCTGACGAAAGTAAAAGTTACTTTAGTATATTATAGCAATGACTGAAAAATTACGGAGATATGAAAAAATCGATTTTCTAGGAGAAGGACAGGTCAGAAACGTTAATTATTTTATATCTCTCGCATAATATTATACATCAAATGTTATATATTAACTACATTTTCAGTTTGCCACTGTTTACAAAGCAAAGGATGTAAAAACAGGAAAAATTGTTGCCGTTAAAAAGGTCTAAAAGGAAATATTTTATATTATTGTTGTTTTATGAAAAAAAGATAGAAAAAAAAAAAAAAAGAAAAAAGAAAGAAAAATTCAATATTTAAATGAACATTTCATGTCTTAACCTCTTCAGATAAAAGTCGGTAGCCGTGCAGAAGCTAGAGACGGTATAAATAGAACTGCTTTGAGAGAAATTAAGCTTTTACAAGAATTGAAACATGATAACGTCATTGGATTATTAGGTAGATTATTTTTACATAGTTAAAATACGAAAAAAAAGAAAGGTATTTGAATAAATATATACTATTGTATCTGCTATTTTAGATGTCTTTGGCCATAAGTCCAATGTTTCATTGGTATTTGATTTTATGGATACGGACTTAGAAGTAATAATAAAAGATAGCAATATTGTCCTGACTGCTGGACATATAAAAGCATACATGATTCAAACTCTCCAAGGTTTAGATTATTTGCACTTTAATTGGATACTCCATAGAGATTTGAAACCAAATAATTTATTGGTTACCTCTGAAGGGGTATTGAAAATAGGCGATTTTGGATTAGCCAAATTTTTTGGTTCTCCGAATAGAATAAACACTCACCAGGTGGTAACTAGATGGTACAGAGCCCCTGAACTACTTTATGGTGCAAGACTCTATGGAACTGGTATAGATATGTGGGCAGTTGGTTGTATATTAGCGGAATTATTATTACGCGCACCCTTTTTACCTGGAGAATCAGATCTGGATCAACTTACTAGGATATTTCAGGTATTTTCTCTAAACGCATTGAAACGGATTTTATCATTTTATTATATAATAATACTTTTATTATTTTATATAAATAACGACAATATAAATTATTATACTTTACAGACGTTAGGTACACCAACTGAAGAAACATGGCCAGGCATGACGGAATTATCTGATTTTATTCAGTTTAAGCCATTCCCAGGAACGCCATTAAAACATATATTTACCGCTGCAGGCGATGATCTATTAGATTTAATAGCTAGTTTATTAAATGTTAATCCATTAGAGAGATGTACATGCGATCAAGCTTTGCAAATGCCATACTTTAGCAATAAACCATCTCCGACGCCAGGTTCTCGATTACCTCTTCCGACAACAATAAAACATCAACCCGAGGAAAAGACCAGTTTAAAGCGTAAATTACTGGAGACTATAGATGGTGCTCCTCTTGCTAAAAGACTGCAATTTTAATATAGGCCGAGCTAAAATGAGAAGATCATTTGTAAATTAATAATATACTTTTCTTAAATCTGTTTAAAAAGGATTGTCAAATAAATATAAAAATACTTTTTATGTTATAATTTTTTTTTTCTTTTTTATGAATAAGCCAATATACAACAATTAAATATTCTACTTCCTTTGTATCTCATGAATCAAAATATATATATATATATATATATATATATATATATATATATATATATATATATATATATATATACACATATATATATATACACTCCCCGCATTATTAATACTTATATATATATATATATATATATATATATATATAAAATTATGTTTATAAAGAAACTTGATTAAGTTTAATAGGCTGTATATTTCTATCATTGAATTTTTTAACAAAGCTGACTTCTTACATTATTAATTCAAATGTTATACAAAAGATTATGTAACTTAAATTGAAACAACGAATGTTCCTTGTATGAACAATTTTTGTGCTACTAAAAAATGTTATTAACGATTATTTCTGATATATAGAAGTTTAAGGCAAGTCTGTTCTGTTCGTTTGATAATTATATTATTTGTAATCTAACGGGTTTTCTGTACATCGATTGCTTCTGAATATAATGGCTGAGGGGGAGCGGGGTATATTAAAATGCACTTTATGCAAACACTGTTTCAATTATACTTATGCTAATTATATTAGAAAGATGCTACACAATGTTATTAACTCATATTATTACACATATCTTTTCATGGTCCCAATGTATGAAATGGTATATTTATGATAGATAAGAATTAAATCTTATGATGAAATAAAAGTATATGAATTTACTGAATCTATTAAAACGGCTATGAGATGTAAATTGAATGTTACTTATATTCAAATAGTCACACTGGTAGCTGAGATATGGTAATTATTAGAGTAAAAACAAATCTGTTATTATCTTCCAAAAATAGTGCCTATTAATATTTAATTGATAAACATGCTGACAATAATGACACAAAATTGTGTACGATATTTTGTTACATTATCATGCGTGTAGTTAAAATAAATATAAATCTTATATCTCTGTGTACATTACTCTATTACTTTTAATTAATATGCAAAGGATATAATGAAAATTTTTTGATTGTAGAACATTAGTGAAGAAAATAAGTATATTAAGTTTTGTAAAACGATAAGTATCTTAAACGAGAAGCCATATTCAAAGTGATTGATTGATATTTTTTTCTTTCTTTTTTTCTATTTTTCTTTTTTCTTTTTTTTTTTCTTTTTTATGACTATTGACTATTACAAAAAATTTAACAATCTTGCCATTTTGTTTTGTTACAAATGATTAAATTACATATCAGTAAATCGAATCATTAATATTAGATTCAATTCAATGATCATTAGCATCAGCCTGATTTCACTTAAACAAATTTCATTTTAGAAACATATACATAAAGCATAATCAAGAAACTAATAACATTAGTTTTTCACATTGATTATAATTAATCACAATATTATTCTAATACTTTTCTAACATAAATAGACATGTCAATATATGAAACTATTATAAACGATCCACTTCTTTCTTTGTTCGTTTTATTTGTATTTCATATATACTCTATAGATTGAGAAGATCGCAATAAAAATTCAGCAGTCTCTTTAGTTTGTTGTTCCTTGTACTTCGAATTTTAATCTACACATATTCGAATATATAAAAGAGGATCTTGTACAATTTTCTTTTTGAGATACTCATTGAACTTACAAGAAACTGATAAGTAGCAATAAAGAATTTATACCGACTAATAGATAAATGGGACTGGTATGATATATACAAAGATTTCAATTAAATTGTGATTCAAATATGAGACACATTGTAAGTAGCATAAAAGCAGTGAGTTTATGTTCTCTGTTTACATAATGATTTGATTGTGGAACACACTTTTCATATATCAGCTATCTGTGTTTCTATGTTTCACAATAATATTAAAAGTAGAAATACATATTTTTTTTTAACGTTACTACTGCCTTTTACTTTACGTATACGCATATGTACATACTATATATACATACGCGCAGGTATACACGATAGGTACATACGTGTTTGTGTGTATGTGTTTTTGTTTAGTAGTTAGTCCAAGGCAAACGTTTCTTCACAGTATATAATAATATAGCTATATTATGTTCGTGCTTTCTTCAG